TCTAGATCACCTTAAAAACCAAAACTTAGGTAAACTGTTACAATGTGATGACCCAGAGTTTATAACTAATCAGTTGATTTATACAATTATCAACTCACTAAAAGAACATACAGTAACCACAACTATTTCTAAAAAAAATCGTATCCTAAAACCTTGGATCACACCAGGTATTTTACGCTGCATAAGAAACCGCAACAAGCTTCAAAAACAAGCACGTAATGAACCTCACAATGAAACAATCACAATAACATACCGGAGGTATAGAAATTACTGTAACAATCTCATTAAAAAGTTAAAAAGAGACTATGAGCGAGAGTTGTTGGCTACATCGGTCAAAAATAATAAACAATTATGGAAAAATATCAAAACTATTACTCACACTAATAAACTCAAGACTTTAAATACAGAACTTCTCAATATTACTGATAACCCGATAGCCTCCGCAAACTCAGTAAATTACTATTTTTCTAATATTGGTAAACAGCTTGCAGAACGGATTGAATATGTTGAAAACGACTCTAACTCTTACCTCCATAACCTGCCAATACATCCGAACTCCTTTGTACTTCTACACACTGATTATTATGAAGTTAACAATATTTTGATGAACCTAAAATCTGAAAGTTCTCCAGGCTGGGATAATATCTCGACTGCTTTTCTTAAACATGCAAAAGAAGTGATTGTTCCCATTATAACTCACCTAGCAAACCTGTCCTTTGATAAAGGAGTATTTCCAGCTCCCCTAAAGCAGTCAATCATTATTCCGGTTTACAAGACTGGGGATAGAGATGACGTAAGCAACTATAGACCTATATCGGTGCTGCCTGTGATATCCAAAATACTTGAAAGACTTATAAATGTAAGATTAAACGCCTACTTACAAAAATATGAGATCTTGTCTTCTTCCCAGTTTGGTTTCAGACAGGGAAAGTCGACCGAAGATGCAGTTTCTGCATTGAGCTCTTTGGTAGTAGAGGAAATGGATAAACATAATAAATGCATAGCAGTTTTCTTGGATTTGAAGAAAGCGTTTGATACGGTCTCTATCCCCATTCTTGTACACAAGCTGGAAAGAATCGGTTTCAGGGGTGTTCCGCTAAAATTACTCTCGGACTATCTTGCAAACAGGAGGCAGAAATTAAAACTAGATAATTATACTAGTGATTGCGCTAATGTGTCGTTTGGTGTCCCGCAGGGAAGTGTTCTTGGCCCTACATTATTCTTAATTTATCTGAATGATTTATGTAACATGACCCTTAAGAATGCCAAAATATTCTCTTATGCGGATGACACTGCCGTCGTTTTCACCGGAGAATCCTGGAACATTGCTAAAAAGAATGCAGAAAAAGGTCTTGAGCAAATAGGTAATTGGCTGCGATTTAATCTCCTTACGCTCAATACGGCAAAAAGTTGCTATATATGCTTTTGCATTTATAACAACGCTCAGCCAGAACTAGATTTTGCGGTGAGAATACATCACTGTCGTACTACAACAGTTAGACAAAACTGCCACTGCCCCACTATACAAAAAGTAACCGAAGCTAAATATTTGGGAGTGTGGTTAGATCAAAGACTCACTTGGTATCCTCAGCTTGAACATGTCACTCAGAGAATAAGGAATCTCACATGGATTTTTAAGATATTGAGACATGCGGTACCTAAGACGGATTTAGAAACGGGGTTTGGGGACAAGTGTCTTCTAAGAGAAATATATCTATCCCTAGTACAGTCTGTTCTTGCTTACTGCTTGCCTGTATGGGGAGGTGCAGCCAAGACGCGCTTTCTTGAGGCTGAACGTGCACAACGTGGTTTGATAAAGGTCATGTATTTTAAAAAACAAATGTTTTCAACTGATAAACTTTATCAAACTACCCGAATTCCTTCAATTAGAAAGCTTTACATTATACAGACAATTCTGAGTAAACACAAAACCCTGAAATTTGATGCCACTAATGCTGTAAGAAGAAGGGATAAGCTGGAAACCGTCAAATGCAATTCTGTTTTTGCTTCAAGACAATATAAAGCTCGTTCAGCCTACCTCTACAAAATGATTAATAAAAGCCTAAACTTATATACTAAAACATATCGCGACTGTAAGAGATGCTTACAGTTATGCTTGGAAGATCAAACCTATGATGATCTAGAGGCATTACTAGTTAAAATTAAATAGTAATGAAAACACTTACACACACTGACATACATAAGCACACACACATACATACATACACACACACATACATACACACACACACACACACACACACACACACACGCGCACACACACACACACACACACACACACACACACACACGCGCGCGCGCGCGCGCTAAAAAAAAAATGTTTAAAGAAATGTAAAAAAGGAAAATGAACCTGATAAATGTAGTACTTTTAGAATTAGCTTTATATTGGAACTATAATAGAATAATTTTCTTTTTTTTTTTTCTTTTTTCATTGTTATCTTTTAAACGTTCTACTTCAAACTCCAAAATTTATTATTTTTAAACTGTACATTGTTCTAAAACGACCTAAATTAATGGAAGAGCGTTGCTCCCTGATACAGGCTCATTAGCTTAAAAGGGGGCTACGATCACTAATATAATATAATGTACCTAATGTTTTGAAATAAATATTTATTATTATTATTATTATTATTATTAAAAGTAATACAAGCGAACACTTTGACGCTAATCTCAACATAATTAGCAAAAACGGTGAATGCTTTTCTTCCTTAAAATTAGATCACAATTTAATTTTAAAAAAGCTACAGAGTGTGGACATTTCTAAAGGAGCAGGCTACGATAATGTTCCCCCAATATTCATTTCAAAGTGTGCGAACAATCTTCTGAAACCACTTTACAAAATTTTTAACATTTCACTTCAAACAGGTATATTTCCAACTATATGGAAAACTTCCAAAGTTGTGCCTATTCATAAAAATGGTGACAATTGTAGAGTCTCAAATTACAGACCAATCTCCATCTTATCTACTTTAGCTAAAGTACTGGAAGCACTTGTCTGTTCGTACATACAAAATCACATTCTGAAATTCATATCACCCTGCCAGCATGGTTTTATGAACGGTAGATCAACTTGTTCTAATCTGGTCCTCTTCACTGAGGAACTAATTGAGCAGATGGATAGCAATAGACAAATTGATGTTATCTACACGGACTTCAGCAAGGCGTTCGATAGAGTTTCTCATGATATAGTTCTAAAGAAACTATCAATTTATGGTTTTCATGGTTCTCTTTTAAAATAGCTTAAGTCTTATCTTACTGGTCGAGCTTTTTATGTGGTAGTGAATGGCTTTGCATCAGAGTTGCATCCCATCCCTTCAGGTGTGCCCCAAGGATCTCACATCGCACCGATATTATTCAACATCTTCGTTAATGACCTTCCTCTTAGTCTTAAATTTACGAAACCATACATGTTTGCTGACGACTTGAAATTGGCTAGAGCCGTTAGTTCACTTGAGAATGCTGCACTTGTGCAAAGGGATATCGACTCCTTAGTGGCTTGGTGTGCAATAAACGGCATGAAATTGAACGTAGATAAATGTGTGCACATCAAATTTACTAGGAAATCTAAAATTATTCCAACTACTTATCATATCGAAGGCATTCAGATCAAAGAGGTAAATGTGGTCAAAGACTTGGGTATTCTTTTGGATCAAAAATGTTAGGTTTCGTAATAAGAAATGGAAAATTTTTCAGAAAACCAGCAACCAAAATTTTGCTCTACTGCAGCCTAGTGCGCTCAATTTTAGAATACGGAAGTGTAGTATGGCGTCCCCATTTTGCAACTCATAGTCTAAGGATTGAACGGATTCAAAAAAGGTTCATACGTCATTTATCGTACTCCGTTGGCAAGCTAAGTAATCCCTATTCGTACTCTAAATCCTTAAAATACTTTAAGTTAACATCACTGGACAAGCGAGGAGATATAACTGACCTAATGTTCTTCTATAAAGTTATTAGAAACTACATATGCTCTCCAGAACTCCTCTCAAAATTTTGCTTTAGAGTGCCGCGGAGAATACCTCGTGCTCCTATTAAGCCTCTAGTATGTCCATTCCGTAGGACGCTACTAGGATCGAATTCCCCGATCTCTAGAATGTGCCATATTTATAACAAATATTGTGACCATCACCAAATCCTTGACGTACATTGTATGACAACCACTAAATTCAAAAAAACTATTTTAGAGATGTAGCTTTTAGTCTTTTGCCTTATTATTTAATGTTTTATTGCGTAAGCGATGATTACCTATAAGTGATTGTGCATTATGTACTAGATACTAAGCTTTAGCAATTAAGATTTAAGTAATGTAACCAATCGTTTGGTAATGTAATTAAATAAAATAAAAATAAAAAATAGCCTAGTTAGATTTAAAAGAAATTTACGTGTTTCTCTTAATTTTTAATGTATTTTTTTTATCTTGTTTATTTTTGTTATTTGACTGAAGTTATATTATTATGCTATGTACACTTTTTTTGGATTGTAGTTTAGATCAATACCATCATACATTTAATTTTAGAACTGCATATAACTACTGTCTGCTTGTGCACCTTATTCAATAAAATAAAATAAAAATAATATCGTTTCATTTTCATGAGTGTCGTAAGAGGCGTCAAATGAAAACAAACCAGGAGAAGGGCAGCAGGGTCTTCCTTAAAACAACTAAAAAATAAAAAAAACTGCAGTTCGCCAACCTGCCTGCCTGCCAGCGTGGCAATTATGGCAAAAATTTCTCCTAAAAGGCAGTCTACGGGGTCTTTGTTAAGTAGTCTATGGTTGAGTCAACCCATTCAAGCTACATCCACAATATAGCTGCAGCATGGCTCTACCACAAAAAAAAAATCCTTGCAAGTTTTTTTGGTAAGGTAGATTTTTCAATAGTTGTAAATGATATTAAACTGATCATTAATATTTTACCGACTGACTATGGGCAGAGAAATTTACTTTCAACTTACAATCAACCTTGTTTGAAATTGTTGCAGACGATGGCAAAATCATAGATGATCTGGGCGAGTTCTACCATAAGCCGGCCGCCAACATCGCCCAACAGAAGAAAGCAGACAAGTTGCGGGAGAAACTCGAAGAGCGTCGCGAGAAAAGGAAGCTCGAACAAAAGTACTGTTTTCAGTTTTTTTTTTCTTATAATAAACGTAACCACTAGAATTTTCTCCTGTATCGTGGGGGTAGTCTACATACATTAATTTCACAAGGACAAACATCCAGAGCCGGAACAATCATTTGTAGAACATACAAGACAGATTAGTATCTTTAGCATCTTCTTTATCAGCCCCGGCCTCTCCTACAGTGGGGAGGACTTACTACTGTAAGTTAGGATTTATAGCACCAAACCTTCCCTTTGACGCTGGTCCCCATTGCCTATCTTTATTTTATACATCTCGTATATACCTGTTGGTTATACTTCTTTAGCCATAGAAGGAAAAAGGGGAGCGGCCAATGCTCCGGGTGTTATTTCGAATCTGTTCTACATTATAGCGCGTTAACTTCGAAACTTTGATAGCGCGATTTATGCTTCGGTGCGTTTCGCTTACGGCGCGACGATAGCGCCACATCTCCATCACAGATGAGACTTCAAGCTATCTATCTTTTCCGTAGTACCATTTTTATAAATTAAAGTGACAAAGGAATTTACAATCCAGGCTATAGATGTGTTGTCACCTCTCACAGCTAGTTTTTACACTGGCTCTATCCCCTCCAGGCCAAAATAGCAGTGCACGCACTACCGCTTGGCGGCAGAAATAGGTAGGGTATTTGTAATGATTTATCCTGTTGATAAACCTTCAGTGAAGTATTACATATTTTAGAATAATTTAATATGAAAGCTCAAATTAATTTTACTAATTTACCAGATTGCAGACCACTTTACTCGCTGAAGAGTCTGATGATGAAGACGCGATTGCTTGGGTGAAGAAATCGCGCGAAATAGAGAAACAGAAGAGAGAAGCTGAAAAGAGAGTAAGTTCAACTGTGCTTTCTAAGATGGATGTAAATTCTTAATTAGCGCAGTAATTCCACAATAAATATTTATTGTGGGATTAACTGCGCTTATTTATTTTTTATTTACATGAAAACTATATAGTACATAATATACTAAAACAATTTTTTCTGCATTTTATTGTCTTTAAATTATCTATTATTAATGTCATTTATAATTGAGCTTAGAACCTTCCATCGTTATCTTTTGCACCCCCCATGGTTGTGGGGGACTGTGGTGTTCAACATTTTAATATTATAGCTAGCTTATTTTATTCTGCTCAAAAACGTGGGAATTATAAAACTAGTTAAATTTAACACCCTAAAATCATGGTCGGCTGAGTAGGTACCGCTGTCTTCTTATTGTAGCCTCAAATAACAGTCCTTGCACAACATCAACTCTTCTGGAGCCTTCATTGCTTGAAATGGGCTGCATATTTCCATGGACTGTAATATAGCAGCCATTTGCTATCAGGTAGACTGTAAGCTTGTTTGGCACTTAAGTTTTATTTTGTTATGCTGGTCTCCATTGTTCGCCCCAAAAATGTGTTATTCCTTGGAGGTCGTATACCATTACCCTTACGGCTAATTAAAGTCCACTGCTGAACATAGGCCTCTCTCATAGATTGCCTCATAGGGCGGATGTTTGCCATAGTTGCCATGCTTGGCAAGCGGGCTGGTAACTGTAGTTTTTTTTATCGTTGAAACAGAAACAGAAACTTTTTTATTCAATATAGATTATAAATAATACTTATTGAAAGTCACTCTTTTGTTTGATTACCACTTGCGTTAATAGGAAGATGCTGCTGTGGAACATTTGCACTAAATATTATCCACTTTAAATGATTCACAAGGCACCTAATTTCAATGGTTCCAAATATACACAAGATAAGTTTAGAAAAGATACAGACACATTATTTTTACCACATTTTTTTTTTTATGAATTTATTAATTGATTTTAAACTAACTTGCTAAGAGCAAGAAAGAAGCTCAGGATCGGATGACAATGTAAGAATATAAAAACAAGGTATATTAAAAGATTTGTATACCTACTTAGTTGTTTTAAATTTCACTTGTCATTACTTATAATGCGGTGTTATGGTGCCACGACACGGCGGAAGTTCGCAACTTTGGGTTTTACGTGTGCAGGCCGCGATGCTGGACGAGTTGGACGCAGAGTTCGGCGTGTCGGCGCTTCTGGAGGAGGAGCAGGCGGCCGAGAGACAGCGCAGATACGACGAGACGCAACTGAAGGGGCTGCGGGTCGCACACGACATCGATGCGGTAACTCAATCTCTTTCACGCCTTTAATGGGAGAACTTGCCTTAAGGCCAGTTTGGACAAATAAGTCATTTGAGAATTGATACTTCTTAAAATACTTCTCTCAACGTGGCAGAGACATGCTGCAGCTATAGTTGTAGCTCGAATGAGCTGGCTCGACCGGGTAAGGATCACGTTCTCACAGAATACCAGCGTAAAATAGCCTTTCAATGCTGCTATGTTTCGTATGGTGAGTGTAGAGAACCGGAGATAATTTTAAGTGAACTGACCACACATCTGCGTTTTGTGTTTTAATGGAGGATAAATGTAGATATCTATGGACTACAGTATCGACTTACCATCAGGTGGAATGTGTGCTCGTTGTAATATAATTTAATCGCGGAGAAAAAAAATCTTTGACATTCGAGTTCTCGTTTTTTTTAAGCAATAACTATGTGATGTGATATTTTTTGATAATATGAAAGGCTTGTTATTGAATTAGATCCTTTATCTCAACTTTTTGGGCAATGCACAAAATCGTCCCTAAAACAAGTAGTGAAAACACACTTGTACGATCCTTTTTTGGTGATAACCGTTCGTATTTCTCAACCTTGACATTGGCAGAAGATAATCGGTTAAACGATGGAGCCATTTTTCTCTTAAAATAAGAAGATGAATTTAATTCTTTATCGGCTAAATTTTTCTTTAAATCCTTTATTTCCTGATAAATTGCTGGACATATATTCATCCACCAGAGAAGGGAGCGCCAAAAGCCGATGATTAGGAAATCCTCGGCTTAATCGGTCACTCTTGGCAGGCAGGTTGATGATCGCAGTGCCAGAATTCTCACAATTTATGGTTGTACCACCATCCAACAAGCCATATATATAAGACCTTTCTGCATTTTTTCATAGTCGCCTTTTACCACACCCATGGAATGAAAGATTGAGTGAATGATTCTTTTACGCCGCCACCATACTGCAAGGTAGTGCCATGCTGCAGCTTTATTATGGTTGCAGCATGAATGGGTCAATTTTACCTGAGTAGAAAATAGCAGCTTAATGCTGCTGTGTTTCAATCATAGTGAGTGACGAGAACCAGAGATCCTTTTATTGGTAACGAGGCATTCCATCTAAGTCCTCGGGGGTGACAAACAATGCATCAGTACTTTGATTCGTGATCAAATATTTTTATTCAGTATAGATAACAAGAATACGTAAAGAAAGTCATTTATGGTTTCACTACTGGTTCGAAAAAAAAAATTTGTCATCGGAAGAACCAGTAATGCCTAGGGGGGTATATTTTTATTTTAAAAAAGTGTTACAATATATGAATATGGAAACATTTAAGAATAGCATTGCAGCAATCACACACAATCTATGATAAATGTATGTGTATATGGGCCACAGCATTCACTTACCATCAGGTGGACTGTGTGCTTATTGGTTACTTCTATATGTGTGAGTTACTGATTGCAGAGCCAATAACTTTGCACTGACTGTGGTGCTTTCTAAGAAAGGTTTGTATATTCCCCTTCCCACTTCAATCGGTTAATTATAATATTATAAACGTTGGGTTTGTATACTCTCTGCAGCTGGGTGACGAACGCGAAGTGGTGCTGACACTGGCCGACAAACCGGTGCTGGCCGAGGACGCAGAAGACGTGCTCGTTAACGTCAACATCGTCGACGATGAGCGCTACCGGAAGGTTAGTCATAGTTTATATCAAAAAACACACCCACCCACGCACGCACGCACTGTACCACTTTCATACATAATGTAAAATCAAAATATTTTATTCAAAATTGGCCTCAATAAAGCAATTTTCCAGTAGGAAGAAAGCTTCAACAAGTCTAGTACTTCACTGTCTGTCCTACTTACTCTTTATCTATCTCACTTAACACATCCCTTCTTATTTAAACACAAAGTACACAACACTGTCTCCCTTACATAAACCACCTCACGAATACACTTTGCACTAGCAAATAATAAGCTCTCACATCAGTACATACTAGCGATCCGCCACAGCGACGCACGCTTGATTTCTGCATCTCGACAACAGCGCCACCTACTGGGAACAAGTATAGCTAAAAATCATTGACATGACCCCATAACATTTTGAATAAAATTGATCAAGCCGATTAGGAGAAGAATTATTCTGAACACACACACCGGAATTTTATATACATGATTATATTGCAATAACCGGCCAAATTTGCAGAGATGGTTCAGAATAAGTAATATAGGCAAATGCTGAAGAAAAATTAATAAAAAAAGATCTCAAATATCCTGTCTTTTTATATTTTAAATTCAAAATGCGTGGTAATGCATTATTTTAACTGATTTTCATTCATAAATATCTAACGCCTACTATTTTACTACGCACGCACACATTCGTAAGGGTCGATTAATCGGCAAAAACGTTCTGAATTGAATCGTACACAGAGAAACGCGCGTACGCGAAGGTGTTACCCATAAATCACATTCAATTTGTGATAATTTCAAATAAAAGTAGAAGCCTTAGTTGCGCGTATTTTCAAAAACTGCAATAACGATATATTATTATATAAATATTTGAACTTAATTTTAAAATTTGGGTACTCTTTTAAAAATAACTGTATAAAGATACACATTGTTTCAAAAAGTGAGTCTTACATTGCTTAAAAAACTATTTGTATTTATTTGTCTTTTACTTCCAGAATATTGAAGAACGCAAGAAGGCTCGTTCGGGCTACCAGGCGTACGACGACGAAGCAGAACTGCAGGCCTCGCTGGGCTTCCAGAGACCTGTACTCTCAAAGTACGATGAAGAAATTGATAAGGGAAAATCTGACAAGCAGCGTGGATTCATTATAGGTGACGAAGACTCCATCGAGGCAAAGAAGTTCCGCGAGCTGATGGTAAGTTAAATACAAATGTTTTCTAGGTGTTACAATTTCTTTTATGCCGTGGAGTTCACCTGCGTGGACCACCTTCTTATCTATTCTTGCCGCTAAATGGCAGTGACTGCACTACTGTTTCCCAGTCTGAAGGGCGTAGCCAGATTGCAATTCTGTTTCTGTTCTGTTTCTACCCTGGTCGAGCTGATCCATTCATGCTACAACCATAATTTAGCTGCATTGTGGCTCTACCAAGTACACAGCTATACTGCCATCTGTCGAAAGCCATAGGAAGCTTTCTAGCATTTGCCATAGTCGCATTCGGATCTTTCGCGCTCCTAGCACCCTCTGATGTAGGCCTGGGTTGTATCTAGTTTTCTGAGAATCATATCTATATATCAGATTTCGAGTTTCAATATCTGATATCAATATCTAGATATTCTGCGTACGCGTTTATATTTTCTACTCAATTGAAAACAACTTCAAAAAAAGGACGGTTTTTATTCGACCCGTATGTATATACATATTAAGTATGTTTGCGATTATCTAACTTCTAAAAAAAACAACCAATTTTGATTATATTTTATTAACTTTTACACGTGGTAGAGCCATGCTGCAGCTATATTAGTAGAATAGTTGTAGCACGAAAGGGTCGGCTCGAACGGGGAAGGACCACGCTCTCACAGAATACCAGCGTAAAATAGCAGCTTAATGCTGCTGTGTTTCGTATGGTGAGTGTAGAGAACCGGAGACCCTTTTTACTGGAAACGAGGCATCCCATCTTAGTTCTCACGGGTGACAACGCATCTGCATCTTGATTCTTTATTGAGGATAGATAGAGGTGGACTGTGTGCTCGTTTGTCACCCTATCCTATAAAAAAATAACTTAATCTTCATAAATGTCGCTTATTCTTTTTTGAAATTAGTTTTCATAAGATATTGATTATATAGTTATAAACAGTTCAATTAAAATAGTAGATATTTATGTTATCTTTATTATTTATTTACAATATAAAAGGTATTTAAAATAATAAAAAGCGCAACTTTCTCTTTCCACTACATTTATTCGGTCAGATCTAAAAATAAATTGAAAATTCTAAATAATAAATAAAATAATATATTATGCACCCGATTTTAGGCTTTAAAAACAATAATATTTGAAATGTATCATTATTAGGCAACAGAAATTAAACTTTAATACCTATATCGCTCGCGCTATGTCGTACACAGGGAATCTAGCCACCGAGCGATGCGATGCGATATAGGCATCGCGGCGGTACGCAAATATCAGATTTTGTAATACTTAGTTTCCGAACGAACCAGTAAGCGGTTTTTAGATATTGTACCAATATATAGATTTCGAATCAGTATACGGTTTGCATCGCCCACCTCTACTCTGATGTCATTACTAATGCCTAGGCCGCACACATCGCGATAGAATTCCGGCGATAAAACTTCGCCATCGGCCTACGGCGAAGGTACTTGATCACTCCACAGAGTCAGTAATTCATTCTTGGGGCAATGTATACGCTATTACAACAAGGTCCCGGAAAGTGTACAGGCTCTCTTTATTACCAAATTTAAATGTTTTGTTAAGTTGAAACTGTATCATTACATCATTACAGCCCTTCACAAGTCCACTGCTGAACATAGGCCTCCCCCAAAGAATGCCACAAAGCACGGTCCTGAGCCACCTGCATCCATCGACTTCCTGCATGTCTTACCAGGTCGTCACTCCATCACGTGGGGGGACGCCCTACACTTCGCCTACCGGTACGAGGCTGCCACTCGAGAACCTTTCTTCCCCATCGGTTGTCGGTTCTTCGAGCTATATGGCCGGCCCATTGCCACTTCAGCTTACTAATCCGTTGGGCTATGTCGGTTACTCTGGTTCTACTGCGGATATCCTCATTCCTAAGTTTATCACGCAGAGAAACTCCGAGCATAGCCCTCTCCATAGCTCGCTGAGCGACCTTGAGCTTCCTCATCCGGCCAGCAGTGAAGGACCACGTCTCAGTTCCGTAAGTCATCACTGGCAACACGCACTGGGTGTACAGTCTCGTTTTCAAGTTTTGAGGTATACCTGACGAGAAGATGTGCCGTAATTTCCCGAACGCTGCCCAACCGAGTTGAATCCGTCGATTGACCTCTCGGTCGAAGTTGGACTTACCTAGTCGGACTATTTGTCCCAGGTAAACATACTCGTCAACAACTTCGAGCTTAGTGCTCCCAACAACTACCGGCATAGGCGTGACATGGACATTAAACATGATCTTTGTTTTGTCCATGTTCATCTTAAGACCTATCCGTTGGGAAACACTATTGTGGTCATTGAGCATAGTGCTTAGGTCCTCCAGCGATTCTGCCATAAGGACTATATCGTCGGCAAATCGAAGGTGAGTGATGTACTCGCCATTGATGTTGATACCGTATCCTTTCCAGTCCAGAAGCTTGAAAACATCTTCCAATGCAGTGGTAAAGAGTTTCGGGGATATGACGTCACCCTGTCTTACACCTCTCTGCAATTGGATAGGTTCCGTACTCTGGTTCTGTACTCGGATAGCCATCGTAGCCCTACTGTACAAGCACTTCAACACTTCGATATACCGACAGTCAACTTGGCATCGCTGAAGGGACTGCAGCACCGCCCAAATTTCGACGGAATCAAAGGCTTTCTCATAGTCCACATACGCCAGACATAGTGGCAAATTGTACTCCTCGGACTTCTGTACAATTTGCCGAAGGGTATGTATGTGGTCTATGGTGCTAAAGCCTTTTCGGAAACCGGCTTGTTCGGGAGGCTGGAAGTCGTCAAGTCTGCGCGCGAGACGATTCGTAATGACTCTCGAAAACAGCACGTAGACGCGGCTCAGAAGGGAAATCGGTCTGTAGTTCTTCAAGAGAGCGTTGTCGCCTTTCTTGAAGAACAAGACCACCGCACTTCTGCTCCACGCCTCCGGTGTAATGCCACCATGGAGGACGGAATTAAAGAGCTTCTGAAGGACTTCAAGTACCGGTTTTCCACCCGCTTTCAGAAGCTCCGCTGTAATTCCATCCTCGCCTGGGGCCTTGCCGTTTTTAAGGTGCTGGAGAGCCATTCTAATCTCGCTCAGACTGACGTCCGGGATATCATCGGAATAATGTCGGATAAGACTCGCTCTTGGATCGTTACTCACACTTGCGTGCGGCTCCAACGATGACGTGTACAGCTGCCCATAGAACCTCTCAATCTCACTCAAAATCTCAGGTGCCCCGGAAACGATGCTGCCACATTCTGTCTTCAGCTTTGACAGTTGGCGCTTTCTGGCAGACAGATCTCTGGCAAAGACTTTGGAGCCTTGGTTCCGCTCGATCGCTTCTTCAATACGAGCTGTATTGAAGTTGCGTAAGTCCCGCCGCATGCATTTGGAGATCTGTCTGTTCAGTTGCCTGTATGCTGTCAAATCTGTTGAAGAATGTAGCTTCATCTCCCGTCTAACAGCCATGAGATTAAGAGTGTGATCGGAGAGTTTTTGTGTTCTTCTGCGGCGGGTCTTGCAGAACTTAGCTCCGACCGCATGGACAGTTTCCACGAGCTTGTCATTCAAATCGTCCACTTCATTGCAGTCTTCTAGGCACTGAAAACGGTTTTGTAACTCGAGCTGAAAGGTTTCGGGACTTTGGATTAGAGCACGAGGGGGACGGAGCGTTGACTTCATTAGACGAGACCTCTCCAACTTAACGTTTAGGTTCAGTGTGCCTCTAACCATTCGGTGATCGCTGCCGGTTTTCACCCTCGCGATCACTGAGACATCACTGAACAGTTGTCGTCTGGTCGTCATAATGAAGTCAATCTCATTTTTTGTCGAACCGTCGGGGCTCGACCAGGTCCACTTCCTGTGGGGCCGCTTCTGGAAGAAAGAGTTCATCATAAAAAGTCCCTCTTTCTCCATGAAGTCAGCCAACTGCTGGCCCCTTGGGTTCCGTTGCCCTATTCCAAATTTCCCTACTTTCAGCTCACCGTTCTCTCTTGTGCCTAGTTTTGCATTGAAGTCTCCCATTAACACCGTATATTGGGTTTTGGAGGAATGCATGGCTCTAGATATATCCTCATACATTTCCTCCACCTCCTGATCGGGGTGTGCCGAGGTTGGTGCGTAAACCTGTATGACCTTCAGCGAATACCGTTTGGTGATTCTGAGTATAAGGTACGCAACCCTCGTCGATACACTCTCAATCTTTACAACGTTGTTAACGAGAGACTTGTGGACGATAAATCCGACACCTCCTTGGGACAGATGGTCGCCCTCCCGGTAATAGAGCAAGTTGCCGGATTCGAGGATTACCGTGTCCTCCCCCTCTCTTCGGACTTCGGATAATCCTATAATATGCCAGCGTAACTTGTCTATCTCTTCTTCCAGCTCCACAATCTTCTCGTCAGTCCTCAGGGTGCGTGCGTTGTATGTTGCCAGGTCGAGTCGTCGTAGGTGGCAACCGAACCTCCACCGGAGATTCTTAGCACCCCCTGCCCCGCCGTTACCATGGTCGCCACCGTAGCCAGGAATAGCGGGGCCGCCGGGGACTAGGGGCCGTTTATTATTGTCATTGCTCATGGGGGGTATATTGCCATAGTTGCCGCGCTTGGCGAGCGGGTTGGCAACCGCAGTTTTTTATTGTTATTTTGGCTATTATCAGGAAGATGCTGCTGCCCATCTCCTGCCTGTTTCCCTTTGTCGCCTTTTACGACACCCACGGGAAGATATGGGGTAGTGGAATTCTTAACCGCCACTACACGGCTTTGAAACTGTATAAAAAGGGTTATTATAGTATAAATGAATACATGGTTGATTATAACCCCTGGGAATGAGGTGATCGCTTCCAAGCTGTTTCTAAAATAAATTTTGTACTTATATAGTTTGTACAACCATTAATGTAAAATCGGCTTTAAAAAAAGTCCCGCTGGGTTTCTTGCTAGTTCTTCCCAGGACAGAGGTTTTTTTTCGAACCAGTGGTAAAGTAAAAAATGACTTCCAATAAGAATC